GTTGCCTAAATTTGCATGTTGGCGTGGTCACTTTAAATGCTTCTTATAGCTCTTTATGCCTGTTTCACGTTTCCATATACTCAGGCTTTGTGGACTATACTAATAGATTCTTATTCTCCCTCCATAGTTCATATTTCTCTTTTCTTGATCACTTTCTAGTGATCGTTTCACTATACAGTCACCTCCATTCACCCTGTATGCATGATTTGTTTATTATAGTTGCCTAGCAACGTCGTAACCACCCGCGTCATCACGCCGGTCACGTGGTTTACACTGTCTCACTTCCGGGTTCGGACGAGCAGGGAATCTTTCACTCACATCTTTTTGGTAAGTGTTCATTGATACTCATCTATATATATTCACTTGTTTCTCTATATTGTTGATCTTGAAAAAGACCCAATAGGGGTCGAAACGTCGATTTATTGGAAAAAAATTTTTGCACATGTAATTTGCATATAAAATAAATGAAGCACTTTTGAAGACCCGTGAGTGCACCTTGTTTATATATTTTTATATATATATATATATATATATATATATATTTTAATTTTTTTTTATTTGGGGTTGCCCCCAAAATATTGGGACATATAAAAAAATAAAACTCTGTTCCGCAGAGCGACTGACCCGTGCATGATGCAGCTGAAACTCCCATGAGGCGGTGAGTGGGAAGGCCGAAGTTACGCTGCAGCGCAGACAGGCTAGCAGCAGCAGGGTGAGAACACCGAAAGCGCGCACAGACAGCCCGCACTTTCTGCCGCAGCTCTGATATATTTGGGTATACACCGTGGCGGTGTAGATGGAAGCGGCGGTGGAGGAGGAGGATTTTGGGACATATAAAAAAAGAAAACAAAGAATAAGTGCACTTGAGTATAACAATGGCTGGGTGAAGCTGGTATAAATGTCTATTCTGCACAAGCTACAGACAAGTCTGGTGGAATCCATGCCTGGTTCATTTTAATAAATGTGAGCTTGTCCACGTTGGCTGTGGACAGGCGGCTGTGCTTGTCTGTGATAACGCCCCCTGCCGTGCTAAACACGCATGCAGACAATACACTGGCTGCAGAGCAGGCCAGCACCTCCAAGGCATAAAGGGCAAGCTCAGGCCATGTGCCCAATTTGGAGACACAGAAGTTGAATGGGGCAGACCCATCAGTCAGTACGTGTAGGCGTGTGCACACGTACTGTTCCACCATATTGCTGAAATGCTGCCTCCTGCTAAGATGTTCCATATCAGATGGTGGTGCTGGTTGTTGTGGCGTGCTGACAAAGATTTTCCACATTTCGGCCATGCTAACCCTGCCTTCTGAGGAGTTGACACCTGTATTTCGTCATCATCAGAAACATGCTGCGGTGGTCCTGGCATGTCCACATCCTGACACATAAGTGGTTGTGCATCAGTGCACTCAAGCCCTTCCACTTCTGGGGCAGGGCTAGGTGGATGGCCCACGCAAACTCCGCCAGCAGAGTCATCAAAAAGCATAAGAGACTGCTGCATGACTTGTGGCTCAGACTGCTTTGGTGATTTGCAAGTGGGTGAGGTGAAAGACAGATGGCCATGGGCTGCACGTGCCAACTCTGAGCTTTCAGCAGGGCACCGGTTGGGAGACAATGTGCAGGAACTGGAGGCACTGCCATCCAATCTACTATCGCCTGTAATTGTTCTGGCCTCACCATTCTTAGAGCGGCATTCGGGCCTACCAAATAACGCTGAAGGTTCTGTCGCGTACTCGCACATGAGTATGGTGTTACACATGTGCGTGTAGCTGGCACAGATCGACCACGTCCTCTCTTTGCAACAGGGATTCCACCAACACCAGCAGCACCACAACCAGGGCCACGTTCCTTATTTGACGCTCTCCTCATTCTTTGCGTTCACCCACCAAACTAACAGATGTTTTATGTCAGGCGGCAATGTAATCGCCAACAGTCAACAATTTTTTTATTTATTTTTTAGTTTATTGGACTGCAAGAAATGCACCGCAGGCCGCAGATGTTCTATTTAGCACCCAAAAAATTAGAATTTTTTAAAAGTGCGATGTAACCACAGTATTAGACCCTTCGATTTGACTCTCGGATATGAAGAGCAGGCCCCAAAATGTACTATTTAGCAGTTTAGCAGCAAAACAATTAGAATGTTTACAACTGCGCTGTAAGCACACTATTTGACGCTTCTATTTGACTCTCAGATATGAAGTGCACCCCACTAAAATACTATTTAGCAATATAGCACCCCATTTTATGTTTTAAAACTGCAATGTGACAGCAGTATTTGACTATCCTATTTGACTCTCAGATATGAAGTGCACCCCACTAATCTACTTTTTAGCACCCAAATTTTTTTTGAAAGTGCGATGTAACCACAGTATTAGACGCTTCGATTTGACTCTCAGATATGAAGAGCAGGCCCCAAAATGTACTATTTAGCAAATTAGCAGCCAGAAAATAAGAATGTTTACAACTGCGTTGTAAGCGCACTATTAGATGCTTCGATTTGACTCTCAGATATGAAGAGCAGGCCCCAAAATGTACTATTTAGCAGATTAGCAGCAAAACAATTAGAATGTTTACAACTGCGCTGTAAGCGCACTATTTCATGCTTCGATTTGACTCTCAGATATGAAGTGCACACCCAAAATGTACTGTTTAGCAGATTATCACC